TGGATGGCTGCTGATCAGCGCACTCTTTAATGCCATGGCCAACTTTCCTGTGCTGGAGAGAGGTGGAAAAACCTTCGGGCAGTTCTCTATCATCCAAGGATCAGTTGGCATGAGCACCGGGCTTATCTACTTGCTGTGGAACATGCGCTGTCCCCATTGTTTATCCATGAGGTCAGAGCAGATCGGGGTCTGTATGCTCATATGTTTCAACGCCGCATACTGCGTTGTGTTGGCATCCAGCTGGTCAGTTGGTGCACCCAACTATCCAGTCTTTGTCTCAGGAGCAATGGTTGCACACCTTGTGGGCAACTTCACGATATATCTGTTGTTCCCGGTTGTTGCGACATATTATGCTGGCTGGCTGGTGGCTCCCGTGCGTGCGGGCACGGACCTGTCCAGCCTGGTGACCAGTTTGTTGGGCCAGTTTCAGAACCCGGACCCCGGGTCCGGCGAGCTCCGCTTCTCGCTGTCCACGCTCTTCATGATTTACTTCGGCTTCTCCATCTGCGGGCTGCTGGCCTGGGCCGCCATCATGCACTTTGGTACCGGGCTGAGGTACGAGGAGGAGGAGGGTGGCACCGTGACCTTGACGGACAGCGAATCCGAAACCACCTCCTCGGACGAGTCGGAGGAGCTGAAGCCGTCGGAGGAGCTGAGGGATCCCCGGCAGGCGGTGCTGGGCAAGCGCGCCGCCCTCTTCGAGGGCTTCGCCTGCCCGCGGCAACTGGTGCTGCCGGTGGTGCTCGCGACGCTGAGCCAGGTGGCTCAGTGGGGCTTGTCCAACGCCATGGGCCAGATAGGCGCAACCTCCACCGATCCGGAGTCTTGTGAAGGCGCGGTCGGCCAGAAAGTTTACAGATACGCCTTGACCAGCTCCATGATCCTGGTGCCGCTGGGGTCCATCATGTCGACGGCGGCGCCCTGCCCTAGGAGGATCTTCGTAGCCATAAGCATCATTCAGCTTCTGGCTGCGGCCTTGATAATGAACGCATCCTTTCAGCTGCTTGGCAGCAAATTTTCGGTAGGACGGTCCGGGATGGAGGTGCATGGTGCATATGGTGCATATGGTGCATGGGGGTGAGAGTGACAATGTTATGCTTAAGACCGTATCGATCAAATTGGCCATTGCTCTGTGGTTGCGGGGGAAGGAGTCGGATACAACCACGACGCAAGCGAGCCAGGCCGAAACTCTTTTGGCTTGATTGCGGCTACCATGGCTACCCTTAAAACTGCTCGGTGCCGGCATCCGAAAATCCACATCCGAGGCGCCAAGTTTGAAGGCTACCAAGGCACCGGGTTTTCCAGGACTCCCTTCCTGTCCTGTGAGCATGCAGATGTGCCATCGTGAAGGCTGCCTAGCTCGCGTCTGGGCCCGGCGTCGACTGTCGATGGCGCGGCTTCGAAAGTGCTTGGCAGGGCGCTGCAGCTTGCAGTTGGGTGTTGTATCGCAGGGGCTTTGCACAGTTGGCAGGAGTCTTTGCCGTAGTGTCCCAACCAGCACGACATCGTGGCGAGTGGGTGAGCTGGCGGTGTAGGACTTATCCCTTCTCACCTGCGTTGTGTCCCTGAAAGTCCCTTTAGCCAGCTTGGTTTTGCCGTTGTGTGTGCTCACATTTGACTTGCATCGCATATTTGACGCTCGACCCCACTCGGGGGAACCGTGTGGCCCCGAAACGGCTTTGCTTTTTCAGACGTTTGCAAATTGCAAACTGTCCTTGATGGATCTAAGCACTCAGTCCCTCAGTTGTCTAAAAGGAAGCCTTCAGGACTACGCGTGGTCGTTGGTTGTTCGTGCTTGCGCTTGTGGTCTTTTTCCTCTTGCCCTGTGCTCTTCCGTCCGTTGTCCTGCCCCTGGCCCGGTTGCTGCGGATTTCACGTCTTTGGTTTTTCACTAGTTCGCGTTCTTCTTTTTGGCAAATTTTGCGAAATGGCTTCTTCTTCCTCTCGCTGATCATCTTCTTTATCTTCCTCGTCTTTTTTGTTTCGTTTTACCAGGTGTGCTTCTTTTTCATGGGTGTCTTCCCTCAATGTGTATGTCCTCGCTGTCTTTGTCTCCTTCGTCTTCGCCTCCTGTTTCTCGACCCCCCTTTCCGCTTGACCGTCTTCTTCCGACACGCCTCTGCGGGATGGCTTCCTCATGTTCCACAAGTCGCGTTTTGCGCTGTTTAGGGTTGTTGCGCTCGGAAAGCCTAAAATTTGGCTTTCCTGTTTGTTGGTTGAGGGTTTTGCCCCTTTGTTTCTTGGTTGTTGGGGCTTCGCTCCTTCGGGAGGATGTGTGATTGTGTGGCGAGTCCCTGATTGACCCAGCGGCCTTGTATGCAGTGGAGCGGTGGGCGTGATTGGAGCCGCCGCTCAACGAAGGCATTCCTTTCATGCCATGATATCGACCTGGGACGCTGGGTTGACGTGCCTGCTATGAGTGACCTTTGGCCCCTTGGTTCTGCCGCTGTGTGTGCTTCCTGTTGAGCCTGGTAGCGTGTTCGTATCTGGAGGAAAGGAGTCGGGCGCCGGCATGGTGAGCCTCCTTTTGGCTAAATTGCGGCCACCGCCAAAACACCGCGTTTTGTGGGGAGCAGTCTCACTCGCCTTTTTTGACGCGTGCTTCTTGGCAGCGCATGGGTCGCTTTCACGCTATTATGATGCCCTTGTGGCTGTTGGCACGTTCTGGCCACTGCCTCGTGTCTGGGTTTCGTAGTTGTGTGCTGCTTTCGGTGGTTTGCGCGCAAGAGCGGTGGTTGCGCGCTTGCCACGTCATCGCCAAACGAGCAAGACAAATGCGACAGGTTGGGAAACAATGCAACTTCTTGGCGCGGTCCTTGCATTCCTTTTCGTGACACAACGTCTGGGCCACAATGAGTCTCACACGGAAAGCGCTGAGGCTTTCTTCATGGTGGAAAACAGAGATGGGGCAACATGTCTACATCGTTGCCTACTCGTTGGTTGGTGGTCTGGAGGGTTACCTGTTGACGATGGCCTACCGCTACATTGGCGATGCAGATGATGTACCAGGAGTGAGGCGCCAGAGTGCCAGCCGGCTCTTAAGCCTGCTTGGGGTTGTTTGTGTCAACCCCATCTCGTTCACTTTGGGTGTCCTGATCGACCGGGGGTCGATCCGCTGCATCGACGGAGTTTGAGTGACTTGCAAGTGTACCATTATCCTGAAATATCAGGGGGTTCAACGAGCGTTTGGCGATGTGACAAAACGAACCGCTTGCGGGGGGGGGGGGAGCCGCGAGGGATGAAAAACTTGAAACGCTCAGCAACAGAGGGCGGGGGGAAGCATTGGGGGGGGGGCAGCGAATTACACTCGTTCTTGACTTGTGGTTTGCGTGTATGCTCGCCTTGTAGCGGTGCCCCCTTTGTAGTGGGCTTTGGGAGGAGCCTGGCATGAAGCTCTGTGAAACACACCCATGCTGTTGATAGAGTTTCTTCCCGGTGCGAGGGCACCCCAAGCTGCAAGCGTTTGGACCCAGCTATGCGTCCTCCATCTTGAGCCCTGCCCCAAGTAGGCTTTTTCAGCGCTCGGATGGCTGTGCAAGCCCCAATGACTTCAACGGTGGCCTTTTGGGGCCCAGTGCGCACTCGAGTATGCGAAAAGGGTGGGATGTGCACTCGCAATCCTGGGGGATGAGGGGGTGGAGCAGTTGAAAGCGCGCACTCCCAACCAGCATGATGAACCACGGTCCATCCCCACATCATATCGCGCACATCGCGCAACGAGTATGCATGGATCGAGCCAGTCAAACCACACATGACTCAGCATAGCTTTGGACGGGTAGCAAGACTTATGAGAATTGCCAAGTTGACATCGGGATAGCAGGGCTTCAGCAGGAAGGCCGAGTCTCAACACTTTTTTTTTGCACACTGAGGCCTGGCAATCAAAAGAAGGGTCAGGCTGTGAGACACTGCCTGAAGATCTTTGAGGAGCAGGTGGAAACACAATTTTATATGACCCCCAGTCTCTCGGCATTTGTTTGTTGATGAAGTCGCATGGAGAACTTTCTAAATTGCCACGGGTAGAAACTATTTACTTGCCAAGCTGCCCACGTCGGCGGGACTGACAAAGAGTTTGACTCAAGCTCATGCACATTCCGCAGTGCCAGTTGCAGTCAAGAGTGCAATGTTGTCGTGGAGTGGCGGTTCCAGGTGGAGAGGAAAGCTTGGAAGCAGCTGGTGCAGGTAGCAAAGTTTCAATGACACGCAGCGGAGACTGAGATTCGCATGGTCTGCATTGTCTGATTTTGCGGAGGCCATTCCCGAGCAGGAGGCAACTCAGCTCATGCCGGCCACTCAGTGTTCAAAGTCGCTCTGGATTGCACAGCTCTTGAGAGGTGAAGCTAACGACTTTAGGTGTGGCAGCTGCAAAATGTCTATGCCGGGGTTGCAGAAGCTGCAACAGCAACTGCGGACTGCCGACTTGTCCTTCCGTTCTGCAGGGAAGGTTGTTTTTTGAAATTCGGGCCTGGATCAACTTAGCTTTGCTTGCCGAGGGCGTGGTCTCTTGGTTGCATGCTTGCTTGGCTTGTTTGCTTGGTTGCTTGGTTGCTTGCTTGCTTGGTTGGTGGCTTGCTTGCTTGCTTGCTTGGTTGGTTGGTCGCCTGCCGAGCTTCCAATGGGTACGATCTGTTTTGCAGGAAAGAGAAGCAGAAGGAGAACAAAGACTTGGACAAGCAGCAGGGTGGTCAAGCAAAATCTAAGCAAGCGAGCAAGCCGAAAGGCAAAAAGTGAAAGCGCTGAATGTACATAGTTGTCCTTTGCTTCTGAAAAGAGAGGAGCAGTTGCCCACCAGGGTTAACAAGTAGGACTGTGGCGAGCGGAAGCATGAACAGTCATGCCTAGTGCAGCCCTGGTCTTCTCGAGAGGTTGGATGTGCTGGCCATGCAGAGCCAGCCTACTAGTACAGCGTACAGCATGGTCCAGCCTGCACCCAAAAGCGCCGCAAGCCAGGTGGTTGCTCCGTTTTGGGTCCCTGCAAGTACATGGGACCTGTCGCGCCGGAGGTGCCGCCTGACCTGGAAGCGCTGCTGTCCAACCTCTCGGAGTTCACCAAGGTGAATCGTGGGGGAAGTCTCCGGGGACGCCTTCCGTTGGGGAGACCCTGGAACCCAACAGAAGCCTACAAGCGGTTCGAGGGAGGTCTTGGGGCCCGTCCTGCGGGGCGTTGTTGTCAACAAGGGCCCGTCTTCTTTTTTTGGTCGCGCTGATGCCCCGAGCGGTTCCGAGTGCCGAGGTGTTCAAAGAACACTGGGATGAGGTGAAAAAGAACATGTCGCACTACCAGAGACTCTTCAGCAGCGGCCTCAAATCCATCGCCCGAGAGGGTGGCACTTTTTCAGGGTGCCCTTGCTGGAGTTGTGTTGAAAGGAATCCACATGGGCATCACTTTTTTGGCTCGAGACCCTGAGCCGATTTCCAGGCGACGATGCCGCCCAGTGAGGCTTTGGTACGTACAAGGATTGGCTCTTTTTCATTTGTCAAAGGCTCAAGCATTGATAACAAATGCAGCTGTTTCCTTCAAAGAGGACGGGATTTTGCCCTAGAAATCTGCTGTTTGCTGCTGCGATGCGCCAGTGGCAGTATGGCTTTTAGATGGGGCAATGTGTGAAGCATGGAGTACATCGCGGATGGGTTTCCTTGTTGACAACGGAATCACGCTAGTTCATGCCTCTTTTTGCCGACCCGCAAAAGGCTGAGAGCCCAGTGGCCTGCGAGCTGCGTGCCGCGTGACGGGTCCGCAGCCTGTACAATACAGAGGCTGCTCCAGTCGATCGCCCACTGGCCCCCTATCGGGCCACGCGGAGCGTGCAGATGTGTTGAAACACATGTGACCTCCGCATCAGCTCCAATCTGTAAAAAGAGCAACCAGCGTTGGGCCTCATGTTGAACACATCTTTGGTGCATTTTGCTTGGATGTTAGGACTTTAACTTTTTGCCAACTAATGGTTTTCCATTAAACTACTAACAGTTAAATTTTTAGCAGGGGAGCAGAAAGCAACCGACACATAGCAATTGATTTGTGGACTCATCTGACGTGAATCTCACACTTATTGGTGTGGGCAACTTGTCTGACAGCAGGCCGGCACTTTATTTCTGGATTGTGTGCTGCACTGGACTTCAGAAGCAACTAGAGCTCAATGTGTGTGCTACGAAGATGTGAGCTGTTACAAAGATTGGCTGGGTCTCTCTGCCACCGGTTGCCAGATGGTGCATGTCTTCGGCGCTGACTGCTTGCTCACTCGCAGCGGATCATTTGTCGTTATTATTTACCACGGCGTGGAACCACAATTACAAGCTGTTGTGAAAAGGGCTTCTTTGCGCCCGTTGCGTCTTGACCCCTGCTCAGGGGGATCCACTTGCAAGTGCCCATGGCGCACTTTGAGCTAGTTGAAATGCACGGGTAGTGTCGATCGCGCCATGACGCTGGAGAAAGGCTTCGATCACTTCGACCAGGAGCAGCATGTGCGGGAGGCCATGAGATATTTGGACGACAAGGAGGTGAAGAAGGTGCTTCGGGAGCTCACGGAGTCCGTGCTGCTGCGCCAACCCGCGGACCCCAAGCTGCACATGTTGGAGGAGCTCTGGGAGAGTACCGGCAGATCCTGGAGCCCTCCAAGCCCAACTTCCCCGAGCCCGATGTCCCTGACGTCCCCGACATCCGGAGAGGCCTGCGCCTTCCTGGGCCAGCGCTTTAGCTGCGCCCAGGCGGCGGTGAGGGACCTGCTGCCGCGCGTCGCCCGGCTGGGCCAAACCTTCGGCGCCCGCGCCTCCTTCTACTCGGCCCCCAACTGCCGGGGTCGGCGGGCGCGGGGCCGGGGCAGGGCCCAGCGCTTCGCGGGCCCCGACTTCCTGCTGGTGGACAGCAGCGAGGATCTGCCCATAGGAGAGCCAGGCGGGCGGATGCGATGCATCTTTGAAAACTGGGCGCTTGTGCCCAATGCGATGCGTGTCATTGGGTGGCAGGCCACCCCTCACTGCGGAAATGCTCGAAACTCAGAGAAGGGTAGATCGCTTCGATTCAGCCGGCCGAATTTCACATGAGCAGCTGCGCTGTCCGGTTTCCTATCAAACGCGTTTGCGGCCAGGTCTGGAGGCAGCAGTGCAGTCCGGCTCGGCGAGCACTGGACATGTCGTTCTGTCCTCAGCTTCAGAAGTCTGGCCGAGGTTTTGCAACCCGTTGGACGAAGCTTTCCGGGGACTGGATTTGCGAAATACTGAAGCTTTGCATCTGCAAAGAGGCAGCTCTGATACGGAGAATTCTGGCCACCCGAAGGTGGCATGTGCAGTTGGAGGTGCGGAAGGCACGTGAGGGATTCGTCTTTGCTTTGTTTGCATGAGGGGGGTTGTCAAGAATATCCCCCCCCCCTTGAGCATGGTGCCGGCTTGTGCCTCAAAAATGGGGAGACCAAGAAGGGCCCCTAATTTTGACAACCCCCCCCCCCCCTTGCCTTCCGTCGCTGATATGCCTCCTGCTGGCTCAGTGCAGGCCTGTGAAACAAAGAAACACATGGACCACCTGCCACAGATGGCTTTTGGGACAGTTGGAACCATCAAAAGCCAGGCATGCTAAAAAGCCAGCCTCATTTCAAGGAGTAGATCCATTCAAGAAAGTTGCTTGGCACGCCCCGCAGCACTTTTAGTTCGCTGTAGTTCTTCTTGCCATGACGTCTGATGCTTGCCTGCACAGAGCATGCACATGAGCAGCGCGATGTGAACATGGAAGAGAGGGTATGTGCATGCGCTTCTTGGGCAGAAGAACATGTGCGACTTGTCCGAGGTTCATCAGACATTACTGGATGAACTGCGCCGCCGATCAAGGGTGGGCAGATGCAGTTCTTGCGAGCTATGAGTTTGATTCTTTCTCAGGCTCCTCCTCAGGCAGCTGTGGAGAAACCAGTTCCACAGGACGGAATCGTGAGTCGTTACTTTGGTATGAATGCTCATGGACTTGGACGGACACACGGTCGACTGGTCTTGCTTGTGCATAATGGAGCAGGAGCTGACATCGTTTAGTCGGCAGTTGGACATGCTATGGCCAGAATCTCAGAAAGGATCGTACTTTCGGATGGATTCGTGGCGATTTGAAAGGAACTGATATGGGTTTCTGTTTCAGTTGGTACCCTTTGTGCAAAAAGCTTTGTGGGTCCCAGCCCAAATTTCGAACAGAAGAGGCCCTTGGTGTGTGCAGCCTGGCGCTGCGTACTCGTCCGGAACGCAGTGGTCACCTCTCTGGGGGTCATCCTGATGATAGGCGAGGGAAGCTCCTTGCTTGTTGCTTCCTGAAGAATGTGGCAGGCTTCAAGGAGCAACCCTTGTGGCGCATAGTCGGACTGCTGTTGGCAGCCCTTGGTTTCAGGCGAGATTGGACACTCCTTGCTCTCGAGCCGATCAATCTCTGGCCAGGGGTCTTCCAGGAGGACGTCCTTTCTTGGAAGTGAAGACGCAGGTGCGCAGACCAAAGGTTTGACTTTAACGGAATTCCTGGACAATTCACTGAGAACGTCGAAGGCTGGCTTTTATGGTGCTGGCTCCGGGCCTTTCGGAGCACGCAATCAGCGTCTCCGCAAGGCGCTGGAGGCCGTGTCTGGCACCCGGAGCCGAGCCGACACGGCGTTTGACCGGTCCAGGCTTGGCTGACAAAATTCACCCCATGCCCCTGGCAGCTCTCCGGGGAGGTTTGCACCATGCTGCCGGACGCTGAGATGTCAGCAAGCCAAATGAATTGCCCTATTTTTACAGGCCTTACTTCATCAACAAGAAGCGATTTGATAGCCTGCGCCGCAGCGGCAAGATTGCCAGACGGAGTGCAGCATGATAGATCGAAGGAGTTGGTTTGGGCAGGCCATATGAGCGGTGCTGGCTGCAAGCCGAAGATGGAGAGCCGTTTGCTTTCGACTGGGTGTTCCCACCAAGTGGCAGGCAACTCAGTGCCTACTGGCCGCCTTTTGCAATCGGAGCGGAATGACAGAGCAAGCTACAGGGTATGATCCAGATCAACCAGTGGTGGTGCTGCTAACCGGACTCGAATCTTGCATGCACTTCAGCTTCAGTACCAGAACCAGAGTTTCCGACTGGCACCTCCCCATGGCAGGCGCCCAACCAACATTGGACGGCAGCGGCTGGTTTTATTGCAGATGCTGTGCCGTGGCCGAGAGAATCGTCTCATGTCGGGGCCACTGGGCGATTTCGTCTCTCAAGGCTGATTCTGCCACTGCTCAGTTGGCTTCACAGGTTTCCATCACTTGCCCCAGCTGTAACGCAACGAGCATATCTGAGGCATGGCACTTTACGCACCGTGCAGACCTCAGCATCCGACTGAGCCGTTCGCAGAGTTATGACTTGTCTGACTCCGCACAGCTCCCCATCTGACCCGAAGGTTGCCGGACGACTGTGGTTGTCCTGGTTGCTCGAGGCGACATGTAGCTTCTGCTTCCTGGGTGCTCTGAAAGTTGAGGTACGATGGATACCCCGGTGAACACGAATGTGTTCCATGGTGCCCGAGTAACGGATCTCCGGCAAGCGCTAGAATTTCTGATTCTCGTTTGCAGCCCAGACGGGCTTTTGCTGCGAGATTGATCTGCAAAAAGACAGGACGAGCCTTGTTACAGCTGTGTGTAGCCAAGGCACTCTTGCTTGGAGGGAGCCACAGGCCGCAAACATGCACATGGACTTGTCGCATTACTACATTGGCGGAGGGCTGTATTCTTCACTTCTGCGCCTGACATGCTTGGACTAGGCCGCACACCGAAAGTGTTCGCTGCCGGTTACTCAATGGGCCTCTTGGCTGCAGTCAGTTTTCATGCATATATCAGTGTCCAACACGCGCTTAGGCCTTTCAGCAGGTGGTTCCACGTTCCACCACCTGCTTTAATTCGGGTAATAAGCGCATGTTAGAACCAAAGGTCGATGGGTTTCGCGTGTTGCTCATATGTCGGTGCCGTGCAGGCGCCATCATCTTGGCAAACTATTGTGGCCACTTCAGCGAAAAGCCGCTGTTGGCTGGTGCTGTACACTTCTCCGGGCTTCATGATGCTGCAGCTTGCCAAAAGAGCAGAGGGTAAGCATGCTGTCTTAAAGAAGCACAAGGGGCCACCAGACCCCTCAAAAAGGTTCTTGGAACCCTTCGATCAGAACCCCTTCTGAGAAGGTTCGTAGAACCATTCCGCGTGGTTGGCCTTTGGTTTGGCCCTTGGTTTCCTCCCTAATTCCCCGTGTTGAAGTCCGCGAGGTTTACAGTGAACATACCAAGCACAACAGTTCTGATTGTCTCTCGCTGGCTTTGCGAGAGTATGAGAGGACCCGCCCCACCGTGGCCTGCCCGACGTTGGATTTGCTTTGTGGGGCACAAAGAACATTGTCCTCAGTTTACATCGTGTGGTTAAGGATGTGAGCCTTTGCGAAAGCAGATGTACAAACAGGCAACATGAGCTGAGGTTTATAACATGAAATTCAAGTACTCGGAAGACACTTGGCAGGCCGGGCAAGGTGACCGGTTGACTTGCTTTTGGCAACTTGTGGCCAGCAGGCATATTTAGCCTACAACCTGAAGTGGAGCATTGTTTCCAACGCTCCGATCGAAGAGGCGCTGCTTGCTTGCTTGCTTGCTTGATTGCTTGCTTGCTTGCTTGCTTCCTTCCCCTTGCTTGCTTGCTTCCTTGCTTCCTTGCTTCCTTGCTTCCTGGCTTCCTGGCTTGCTTCCTTGCTTCCTTGCTTCCTTGCTTCCTTGCTTCCTTGCTTCCTTGCTTCCTTGCTTCCTTGCTTCCTTGCTTCCTTGCTTCCTTGCGTGCTTGGCCGTCAGCTCATGGTATGAACGCTCTTCCGAGCCGTTTGGCCATTTGTGAGAGATCAGAACACAGAGACATGACTCATGCCTGTGATGCAACTGCAACCCAAGCCGAGTCGCGACAACGGCAAACAGACCCTCACGAAGCCAGTCAGCTCAGCCTAAAGGAAGCAGGCCTGTCTAGGACCCTAGGAGGTGTGAGAGCACATACAAAGTAGCCAACACATCAGGCAAGACAGCGGCACGCATTCAGCTGAGAGATGTTTGCCATGCGCCTTGCTTTGCTGGCCTTACAGCTTTCTGGTACCGGGGCCTTCATCCCCGATGCGCGGCTCCAAGTTTGCCCTCGCTGTTGCTTTGCGGCCAGGCTTTGGTCGATCAGGATTGTTTCTTCCAAGGAAGGACACATTTGGTCATTATTTTCGGAATGAACAGGTAGCGCCGCAATCAGGGAAGAGGTCCACAAGTGTTTGTTTGGGCCAAGATTTAAACTTGCAGACACGGCTTCCCTTTCGCATTGAAGTGCAGCCGTACAATAGGGTTGAATATTTTTTGTTTGTTTCCGAATCGGCCTCCTTTATCAGACTCGGTGAGCTCTTTTGCCCTGCGAGTTGGGCGAGGGCTGGGACTCGCGTATTTTGGCCAGGCTCAGCCTCGGCTACCACGAGCTGGAAGGACGCCCATGCCGCGTGCCGTGCTTCATGCGGTCGCGAGCACTTGTACCTAGACTTCAGAGAAGTCTGAGAGTTTCCAGGAACCCCACATCACTTCTACCTCAAAGTGCATCTCCACCTTACACTTCCAACCACCGACACCACCGCCACTGCAACCAACATCCCAGCTCCAGGAGTTTCGGCACAAGGCAATCCAGCATCTACAGGCTCAGGGGGGGCAGCATGACGCGACAGCCCATTCATGTGTCATGTGTGCGCGCACGTGTCAGAAAGCAGATTGTGGAGCCTAGTTCAGGGATTTTGCATTTTTGCCCTGCCTTGAGCACTTGTTCCTTCACATTTCAGCCTCGTTGCATCCCTCGCCTTGCTCGCACTCATATGGACCGCAAGAATTGCTGCGCCGTGACGCAGGCTGCAGAAGCCCCCCCAGCGTGAGCAGGTTCCCAAGGATGCATGGGACAAGCGCCAAGGCAGCAGAGCAGTGAAAGACATCAGACAGAGTTGATTTGTTCGCGTTGCTCGTGGCAAACTTTTGCTCATTTTCTGAGGCCGACAAGCTTGCCGTCGAAGAGTATCCTGACAGGGATGCTTGCCTTCCTCGCTGGCGCGACGAATGCAATCGTTTTCACAAAATACAAATGCTGCTGAGACGGAATGGAGCAGGATTCGGCTGGGGGCAGAACTCGCACAGCACCCTTTTGTTGTCAGAAAGCGACCTTTTTGATCAATGACTCAGTAAGGCTACTCGAATATGATGACTGGAAATAGTGCAGCTTTGGCTGAAACCAGAGCTTTGAGACACGTTGTGCGCGATTGCCTACACTTCACGCATGTATAATTTTGACATAGATGCCATCTGAGTAGCAAACGGCAAGCACTGCAGCCATGCTCGTTGGCTGAGATCATGGTCGGGGAAGGCTTGGCAACATTACACTGGGCCAAGTTTGCGTTTGTCTCCAGCATGGTCGGGCACTATGCTCCTTGGAGCTGATTGTGCGCTGCTCTTGTGATCCTTTGCAATTCCTTTTCGGTGAAGAGATCATGGATTTCGAGTGCAACGCTTTGCTGCGACTTGTGATCCTTTCGTCGATTTGATTCGGGCACCAAGGTCGCAGGAGTCGCCATCTTCCGTTTGCTCGACTCGAAGCTGGGCCTTCGCAGAGTCATTGTGACAGCGCCGCTTCTTGGACATCGCAGAATGGGATTCTTCAACGGCACACGCTTGCAACACAAATCATTTGCATAAGTAGCTGGCCGATGAGTGCTCACATACATGAAGGCAAGTTTGCTAGGATACACTGCAAAGATACATCGACAAGAGTACAAGAGTGGTTGCAGCCCGAACAGTGAAGATTGTAAGTGATGCAACACGGCAGCTGATTGATGCCTTGACTTGCTTGTCCTTGCAGACTATAGGGGTCAGGAAGCCTGGATGCAACAGTTGCACAGATGCATGCGACTTTCATTCGATCTGAGGACAAACTTATACACACTGAGTCCACGTTCAATTTGGGCTTGGCAGAATTGACGGATTGCCTAGAGGCTACCGCAAGCCAGGCCTCACTGACATCGCAACAAGCATCGAGGTGGCTTCTTTTTTGTTCTTCTGGCTTCTTCATTTGGTTTCTCTTGCTCTTTTCTCATTGTCTCTCCTTTTTCTCCTGATTATCCTTTCTTGTTTTCTGTTTTTTGCTCTGGGCCTGTCTTTATCTGGCTGCACATGCAATGCGCTTAATCGCAGCTGCGGATGTGGCCCCGGCTTCCCAAACAGCCAAATCGCGCGACGGGAAACGAGCAACAGTTGAGATGGCCTTCCCGGCCCTTCCTCTCCAGGCTGCAGGGTTGGTAGAGAAAATCGAGGTCAGAGGCACTCCGTCCAACACGACTCAGAGCTCGTGCGCAGAATGTTCATCGCCACCATCAAAATGTATGAGACAAGCATAAGACACTCCTGCATTTACAAGAAAACGCATCAAGCGGCATGTCTTCCGTAGTCTGGTGGTTAGTCTTGCTGTCTTCCCAGAAACTGGCCGTGCTCTTCGGTCCATTTGTCCTGTACAAGGGATGTTGTCTTACAGCGCCTCCGGGCGCCAAAATCTTGCGCCCGGACCTCAGGGAACTGGACTCAACATCCCGAGGGAAGAGCCTCGCAAGTGGGAGAGCCGAGCAGTCGGGTTGGACTCCCACAACTTGCACCAGCACCTCTGAAGCGCCAGATCGTGAAGAGCACAAATGCTCGGCTGATCGCCAGATATGTATATATATATATTTATACTACACATACATCGATATATAAAAATATACACGCTTTTACGTATAATATTCATATGCATGCCATGCATGTTCACATTCTTTGTACAGGTACATCTTGCCTTTTGCTACATTATTTTCATGTAGTGCACATACTCACCCACACAGCAAGGCTGGTCCTGCTGCTTTACCTTGCGGCTGATGCTTGGCCACTTGATCCAGATGGATACCAAATGTTGTTTCACTGTATGGGTATGCGTCGAAACAGGGATCATACCCCCCAAAGGAAACGATTGGTAGTTATCCTCTTGGTTCGCTTAAAACCAGCAAGAAAAGGGTACCCTGAAAAAGATAAACCCAGATGTTGGGCCTTAAGAGCAAGTTCCTGTTGGAGCGTTGCACGAGGTCTGGGCGATTCGATACAATTTGGCACGTGCCTCTGCTGGCGCTTGCTGCTGGTTTAGCAAACGCCTTTTCCTCGAGCACTCAAACCGTGGCAACTTGGTGTGTATAGCTCTGGTGCTGGGAGGCCTACTCTTCTCCTGACCTATAGCAAGCCTGCGCATGAAGCATTGGGACCTTGCATTGACTAGCGTGTTTTGTGTAAGGTGACCAACATGCTGACTGGCCACTGGAACACTATTGGCAACTTCCTGGGCGATCTTATGTCTGGCAAGGGAGCGAAAGGGCGGTCGGCCGCCAAACGAAGCCTAGGCGGGTTTGGAAAAGGGGTGAGCTGCGGCGCTGCGGAGCTGCGTCTCTGTTCCATGTTGTAGGCATCACCACCACGCTGCTCCTGGGAGTTGTGGCTGGCGCGACTTTGATGGAGCATGGCGTCAACCCCAGGCGCGGATGTCGACGGGGTTTTGCGAGTGACCTCGCGACACAATTTGAAGGTGAGGCAGGTTCCTGACGCGAGGTTTTGGTGGCTGGGTGCAGCGTATGCCTGTGTCTTCGCTTGGTACGACGGTGCCACACTCCGCTCCGCCGGACGGCGATAGAGTGAGTGTGGCCTTGGTTTGGCCCTCGCTGGGCTGGGCCCATAGTTTCCAGTGCCACTTTTCCTCGACTGCCACAGCAGTTGATCCAAGACTTGGCTTTGTGATGCGCGGCAAATTCGGTTCTGATGAGCCGCTAGTGAGGACGACAACTTTTAAGCAGTCTTTGGGCGTCCTGGGACATTTTTGCTGCGCATGGCAGGCCAATGTTAGCAAGCGCTAACATGTTTCAGACTATTTAAATGGATGCTCGATGCTTGCTCTTGCTGGGAGCTCGCTCTTCGATGAGCATTTAGTCTTCGCCTGTTGGGACAATTTTCCTTTACTGCGATTTTCATCCTTTCAGGTTTTTGCATCAATGATTCGACGCTCGGCTGGAGGGATTCTCAAGGCATCTTTCTTCGGTCGGCTGATCGTCTTGAGCAATTCAGCTTAAACCGGAACAGTAAAGCTGGACAGAAAAGAACCCACTGGCCGCGTTTGGTGATTCATGCGCTGCGCTTGGAACCGGCACTGACAGCAGAACTGCTCCGATGACAATAAGGGTGCATCGCATTGGCCAATCATGCAGGCACGCAAGCGTGGTGTGAACATGGAGCGCATCATGTCCGGCAAGGTTGCAAGCGTTGTTGATATTGACAAGGCCAGGGGAGCGGTAAGGGGTGATCTTCTTGCTGATGCTTTGTAGGACTTCGTATCTGTCTTCAACGGCTACGATGGTGTTCTGGACCCTGCGATCCTCACATGCAAGAGCGCAGCTGCAGTGCTCATTCTTTTCCCTCGCTGGAGGACTATTACAGAGACTTGAGCCTTGCTGCCGATGACAAATGGAGAAACCTGGATGAGTTAATTGCGGGCCATGGAGTAGTGCTTCGAATACCTGTGCTTCAAGTGACCTCAGGAAAAGTCAGTATTCCACTCTTGGCCGTTGCAGCCCGAGATGCTGCTTTGCCTGAATTTGGAAGTCGCTATGCTTGGGTGCCCTCACGTGGAGTCATGGTCACTTGCGGTATGTGGCGGGCGCCATAGAAGCCGCGTAACAGCCACCAATCCTTGCGTTTCCGTGAAAGCCAACACGACCAATGGCAGACCCAATTTTTGGCGACCGCTGCCACCGATCTTTGGTAGAAACTGCTGCCATTTTTGTGGAGTCTTGTTGGCCCTGAAAGTGCAAAACAACTCGATAGACATGATTTGACACCGTGCCGCAAACCTGCCCCCGCCTGACACTTTCTAGGACTATGCCAGGTTAATAGTAGTGCTAGACATATCACAACATTTGCTGCAAGAAAACATAACCCATGGTAGGAAAACACAAAACACTGCACACCTGCTGAAAGAAATGCTTTGCACAAAGAAAGCTAACAGTTGCTAGACAAATGTTAGATGTGATGCATTGCTGGACAATTATTGCTAGCAACACATATCGAACCATGCTGAACAGATGTCAGCAATGTGTTGGGAAATAGCGGGACATACGATCAAGCTAAGTGACACATGAGGCTAGGAACACGATGCAAGGTCTTTGCTTGGCGTATGCTTCGCACATACCACAGACCAGATGGAATGTGCGAACAACTATGCTGGACATGTGCTGCGCCTGTCCTGATGCTCCACAACTACTAGGCAAAGCTGGATATGTATATGTAGTATATATATATATGTACATAATCATACACGCACACACATACTACATATACATATGTATATATATATATATATGTTTTTATACATATAATATGTACTTTCTACATCTGCGAGACACGAGCTAGGAACAATGCATTTCTTGACTGGTGCCACGATTGCAAAATTCCAAGGATCCGATCACCCACTGCGATGCCCTGAGGCCGGACCCACGTTGTACCACTCAAAACGGCGAAAGCACATGGCACGCCATCTCATGGTGCGTAATGGGACATGACGAAGGTATATGGGTGATAGAGGGAGCACACAGCTCGTTTTGGTCATGCCCTTTGCCCACAAGGGATTGTGCCGTCTACTTTCGCCTATATCATCACGGAAAGGAAAGGAATGGCTTTTTCCATCGGTTGTTTGACCCCCAAAACAATGCTGCTACTTCGTGTCCTGGTGTGACCAGACACATTTGGATCCAACAGTTGCCAGGGCCCAAGAGTTCTCGTCCAAGAATCCGCAGTTGCTGTTCTTGATCACAGTGCCTGCCTGAGTTACAGCAAGCGAAGCTCCAAACATGCAAAACATTTGGCTCAAACAAACATGTATATATATATATGGCTGTGGCTCAAAAAACCGGTACCAGAATGGAACCCTGGTAAGTGGAAACATGGACCAAAACCTGCGCTTTGCCCCTCCTGTTTAATTTTGAGCCACACCCATATATACACATACACACACACATAACAAACATATAGATATCTACGTTCCAGGTCCGAGGCCCCCCCCTCACCCATGGTCATGCCCCCCCCCCCCCCTGTGGGGTGGTTGTGGATGGGGTTGGTTCAGAGTTTGTTGAGGGTTGTTTGAGGGTTGGTTAGTTGGAGTGACTTTAGGCTGGCTTTGGAGTGCGAACCTGGGACGGGGAATATATATATATATATATCTGTATATGTACATACGTGTGTATGTGGCACATATGCATTTGTGCACATATGCATATATGCATCTATGCATCTATGCATATACATATATATATATATATATGAATGTTTTTTTGTATATATATATACACATATGTATATGTATGTATATATATATGTATATATATATATATATATGTATATATACATGTATATATGTATATATGTATCTATGTATGTAGGTATGCATGTATCAATGTAATGTAATAAAACATAATGCAATGTAATGTCATGTCATGTAATGTAATGTAATGTAATGCAGTGTAGTGTAATGTAACGTAATGCATTGTATGTATGTATGTGATGTAATGTATGTTTATATATGTACATATATGTATGTAACGTAATGTAATGTAATGTAATGGAATGCAATGTAATTTCAGGTAAAGTGCAATGTAATGCAATTGTAATGTAATATACTGTAATGTAGTCTAATGCAATGTAATGGACTGTGATGTAATATAATGTATGTATGTAATGTAATGTAATGTAGTGTACTGTAGTGTAATGTAAGGTCATGCAATGTTGTGTAATGTACTGAAATGTATTAATGTGACGTACGTAGTAATCTTAGGTATGTATGTATGTATGTATGCATGTATGTATGTATCTACGCAATGTACGTATGTGTGCATGTATGTATGTATGTATGTATGTATGTAAGGTAATGTAATGTAATGTAATGTAATGTAATGTAATGTAATGTACTGCAATGTAATGTAATGTACTGCAATGCAATGCAATGTGATGTAATGGACTCCAATGTATCTATGTATGTACGTATGTATGTATGTATGTACGTACGTATGTACTGATGTATGTATTTACGTATGTGTGTAATGTATGTATAATGTATGTAGCGTATGTATGTATGTATGTCTGTTTGTCTGTCTGTCTGTCTGTATGTATGTATGTAATAAAATGTAATGTAATGCAATGTAATGTAGTGTAATGTAATATAATGTATGTTTGTATGTATGTAATGTAATGCAATGTAATCTAATCTATTCTCATCTAATGCAATCTAAGGTAATGTAATGTAATGTAAATGAATTGCAATGCAACGTGATGTAATGTAATGTAATGTTATGTATGTACAAATGTAATGTAATGTAATGTAATAGAATGAACTGGATTGGAATGGAATGTAATGTAATGTACTGTATTGTAATGTAATGTAATGTAACGTAATGTAATGTACGTTTGTATCTATGTGATGTAATGTAATAGAACTGAAATGTAACGCAATGTAACGTAATGTAATGTATGTATCAATGTAATGTAATGTAATGGAATGGAATGTAATGTAATGTAATGTAACGTAACGTAATGTAATGTATGTGTGTATGTAATGTATGTATGTATGTATGTATGTATGTATGTATGTATGTATGTATGTATGTATGTATGTATGTATGTATGTATGTATGTATGTATGTATGTATGTATGTATGTATGTAATGTAATGTAATGTAATGTAATGTAATGTAATGTAATGTAATGTAATGTAATGTAATGTAATGTAATGTAATGTAATGTAATGTAATGTAATGTAATGTAATGTAATGTAATGTAACGTAATGTAATGTAATGTAATGTAATGTAATGTAATGTATGTATGTAATATGTATGTATGTATGTATGTAATGTATGTATGTATGTATGTAATGTAATGTATGTAATGTATGTAATGTAATGTAATGTAATGTAATGTAATGTAATGTAATGTAATGTAATGTAATGTAATGTAATGTAATGTAAATGTAATGTATGTATGTATGTATGTATGTAATGTATGTATGTATGTATGTATGTATGTATGTATGTATGTATGTATGTATGTATGTATGTATGTATGTATGTATGTATGTATGTATGTATGTATGTATGTATGTATGTATGTATGTATGTATGTATGTATGTATGTATGTATGTATGTATGTATGTATGTATGTATGTATGTATGTATGTATGTATGTATGTATGTATGTATGTATGTATGTATGTATGTATGTATGTATGTATGTATGTATGTATGTATGTATGTATGTAATGTATGTATGTATGTATGTATGTATGTATGTATGTATGTATGTATGTATGTATGTATGTATGTATGTATGTATGTATGTACATGTATGTATGTATGTGTAATGTATGTATGTATGTATGTATGTATGTATGTATGTATGTATGTATGTATGTATGTATGTATGTATGTATGTATGTATGTATGTATGTATGTATGTATGTATGTATGTATGTATGTATGTATGTATGTATGTATGTATGTATGTATGTATGTATGTATGTATGTACGTATGTATGTATGTATGTATGTATGTATGTATGTATGTATGTATGTATGTATGTATGTATGTATGTATGTATGTATGTATGTATGTATGTATGTATGTATGTATGTATGTATGTATGTATGTATGTATGTATGTATGTATGTATGTATGTATGTATGTATGTATGTATGTATGTATGTATGTATGTATGTATGTATGTATGTATGTATGTATGTATGTATGTGTATGTATGTATGTATGTATGTATGTATGTATGTATGTATGTATGTATGTATGTATGTATGTATGTATGTATGTATGTATGTATGTATGTATGTATGTATGTATGTATGTATGTATGTATGTATGTATGTATATGTATGTATGTATGTATGTATGTATGTATGTATGTATGTATGTATGTATGTATGTATGTATGTATGTATGTATGTATGTATGTATGTATGTATGTAATATATGTATGTATGTATATGTATGCATGTATGTATGTATGTATGTATGTATATGTATGTATGTAATGTATGTATGTATGTATGTATGTATGTATGTATGTATGTATGTATGTATGTATGTATGTATGTATGTGCGTGTATGTATGTATGTATGTATGTATGTATGTATGTATGTATGTATGTATGTATGTATGTATGTATGTATGTATGTATGTATGTATGTATGTATGTATGTATGTATGTATGTATGTATGTAATGTATGTATGTATGTATGTATGTATGTATGTATGTATGTATGTATGTAATTAATGTAATGTATGTATGTATGTATGTATGTATGTATGTATGTATGTATGTAATGTATGTATGTATGTATGTATGTATGTAATGTAATGTAATGTAATGTAATGTAATGTATGTATGTATGTATGTATGTATGTATGTATGTATGTATGTAATGCATTGTATGTATGTATGTATGTATGTATGTATTTATGTATGTATGTATGTAATGTATGTATGGTATGTATGTATTGTATGTATGTATGTATGTATG